TATCCAACACAAAAGGCAACTAAACGATGGGATTTATTATATCAATGGCTTGAGTCGCCAGATACTGCTTGAGTAACATAGATTTAAATTAGGATGTAAATATAAGTTTAAAACCTGGAGGGCAATCAGATTGTAGAAAAGCGGAAAATTGATTTGATATTGTAATATGAATAGATTGGATGTCAGTACATTCTGTGTTTCTCCTCCCCCTCCGTTTCCCCTCCACACCTTCATATCCCCCTTTACTTTACCCCTTACCCTATCCCAAGTTATTGCAAAAAATAAAAATTTATATATATAATGATACTTGGTTTTTATTCCTTTAAAGATTTGTATATGTCCGTGTAGTTGGCGGGGGTTCCCTTATGGCCTGGGAGGGGAACACCAGCTGCTGAATTATCTGTTGAAGAGAACAGTGGTTCCGATCCGCCTCAAAGCGCCAACACCTCTCAGGTTGACTTTTACGCTCTGCCTGGTTCTGCAAGGTGCCGGCCGAGCTATTCCGGACCGCATGGAATAAAGGAATACGGTAGATCCACGCTCCTGCAAAGTAGGAAAGACATAAGGCATGGCCTGAGTTTTTCTTGGGTTAGAAAGAATTGAAACAAGTAAAACTCAAAAGAGGTCTACTTCGACGCTGCCGTTATCTCGGCGACGTGGTGGGCCATCAGCTGCTTGGACCAAGGATTCCTCCGGGTTTTCTCTCCCGGTGACCTGCTGTCCAGAAACCGCTTCTCTCAAGCTGCTGTTTCTATTTTTTTTACCTGAATCCACCCCCTCGCCCCCCAAGGCCTTCTTTTCTCCCTCGTCTGCAGATGGGTCTCATCCATCTTTTAAAAAGTGTCTGGGAGACAAAAGGAAGCCACATATGTACAGATGGAGCAGAGGCTACACAATCATCCATCCAAATCAGCTGCTAGTAATGGGACTTGAAGCATTCCCTCCACCCCACCCCACCCCCGTGTTTATTGACTGAACCGCCATGGGGTTGGAGGGGCTGAAGACCGTTGGGGGGCTGTGTGGGGCGGGTGGGTTGTGGAAGCAAACCGTCCCTGTAAGCTACCAAGACAAGGGTCTCGGGGCCCGAAGATAATAAATGACTCCCGGTGACATACATAAATCCTACATCTGGAAGGGAAATGGGTGTCGTAAATTTAGCTGCCAAATTAAACTGACAGCAGGTCTCTCCGCCTGACAACGGGTGAAATGTAAGCTGACGGGTGAGGAAGGAAAGACGGTTCCACACGCTCGCCTGGCATGGTGTCTTGGAGCCTCATTAAAATGTCGCTGCATCATTAGGTTTTTGCATCGGAGGTATCAGCTCCAAACCGAGGGCCTTGTGCTAAGGAACACAGCAGGAATTCCCCCTTTTCCGCAGTTAGACAAGATTCTTCCACACCATATTTTAACAAAGCAGTGGTAGCTGCTGCTATTATTATTATTTCTTCTTATTAGTAGTAGTAATAGTAGTAAGGAAAATGCTTTTGAATTGTGGTGCTGGAGGAGGCTCCAGCTGTTTTAGAATCATCGTCTAGCGAAAAATCGGTTCCCGAAGCAGGGAACCGATCTTCGTCAAGCGAATTTTCCACATCTAAACATCGTTTTGCAATCGCTATTGCGATCGCAAAAACCTCATCATAAAGCGGATTCGTCGTTTAACAAGGTAATTGTTCAGCGAGGCACCACTGTATACAAAAACACTAGGCTCAGTCAATCAAAATCATAAAAACATTGACTGGTATTCTATCATAGATACAAGTTTTAACCAAAAAACCTAAGTATCCATTAAATATCAGTGGTTGGTGTGTGTGTGTGTGTGTGCGCGCGCACGCTGTTGCTAATATTGCTGGAGGAGTGATTTCTGAGATCTTCAACTGCTTATAGTACTGTGTGAAATTTCTTCATATTGTTCCCAAAGCCCCCGTGACTAAGGGGACCACAGAAGTGTGTTCCTTCCAGAGGCAAGATGTTTCGAAGGCAAGATCTCTGTGTTGTTGTTGTTCATCATCATCATCATGATGGTGATGTTGCTGTTGGTGTTAACAGCAGCCTTGTTACAGCCTGTACATTTTGCTGAAGCAGACAGAGCAAAGAACTCAATACAAATTTGATGGCCGAAATCTAAACGTGAGGCTAGAATTCCCTTTAGGCTCAGATCATCCCAAATAGGATCGCCCTAAAGCGGGCCGTGATTCCCCTGATATTCCCCGAACGGCTCTTTGATGAGGAGAGGGCCACCACCTGCTCCTCTCGGCTGCCCTGCTTCCCCGTCAGGGGAATATAGATGACGCCCGTACGTGCTTGGAGGCAATTGACTACTTTTATGGGCTGTGTCCTGAGACCGCCCGAGATTGACTGGAAGGTTGTGGGGATATTGGGGGGTCGGGGAGGGGAAAGTGGGAGGGAGGAGGTTCAATCTCTTGTTCTTTCACCTCCATGTTGTAAACTTGGATGCTGCTCTCGTATATCATCCATTTAAGAAAAAACGAACAGGCTTTCACCTTTTGTCCTGTGATCCCACTTCAGAGAGGTTAAAAAAGGCATTTCATGTTGGGCCTGATTTTTGTGACACGGGGAAAGGGGGGTGTCTCTCTAGGGAACACCAGTGGGATGGTTTGGCCCGAGGGCCTTGAGCTCCCACATTACACCAGTAGCTTCGCTCCTTTCCCACCAGTTGCCTCAGATCAAGATCTGGCTTCCCAGAATTTTAGAGGTTGTTCTCGGCTTGCCCCCGAAAACCCGCTTGAGCTGTCCTTGCTTCCATCACGTCGTTGGTTGCCTGTAGAAAAAGTTCCCTCCTGTGTCTGAATGCGTCTCTCATGAGGGATACCCCATTCCTATTTCTTTCCGCTTATGGATCCAGAGTGTTTTCAGGAAATCTGCCGAAATCACAAAAAGGTGTGTGGGGTTTTTTGGACAGGTGTTGTTGGGGGGTCACCAGTCCCCAACCTTTGAACCCCAGATGTTCTTGGACTATAACATCTGGCCAAAACAGCTGGGAGTTGTAGTCCAAGAACATCTGGGGACCCAAGGTTGGTCTACAGAAAGGAGATGCCTCCTTTTGTCCGTGCGAACCGGAGGACTTCAAATCTCCGCTCTAAACTGGAAGAAGGCCCAACGCGCCCACGTCCCTCATTTGCTGACTTCATTACTGCCCCTTTCTGTTAATTGCTCTCTTTGCTTCCCAGCCATCATCTCAGCTCATCCTCTGACTTTCCAGAGATGTCCTGTTTAATTAACAGGGGTTTCATCGTCACAAGGCTGCGTCTTTCTTTTCTTGTTCAGGTTCTGCATGAGCAAGGCTGAGCATTTACCGGGCCAAATGGGGAGCGGTGGCGGGGGGGGGGAGCGGAATCCTCTTTAATTACGGCCAACGAAGGACCTTCCGTTAATCATGGAATCAAGATTCCACCATCAGAGCCCGGGGGACGAGATGCTTGAGTGAGAATTCACTCAAGCCGCCCTCGTCTTTGTGAGATTTCTTCCCTGGCCCTCAAGACGCTGCCTCTCTGTCCGTTTCTTGTGATGTTTAAAGAAGGGAAGAAAACAGATTTGTTCACAGGACCCAGTGACGGAAAAGCAGGCTTTTGGAAAGATGAAAAAAGGGGTTCTGAACTGGCCAACGAAAAAGAGCTGTGCTTTTATTTTGCAACCGATGTCTCTTTACATTGCCTTGAATTCATGGGTTGTTTTAATACAATAATAATCAAACTGTATTTAATTTTAGGATAATTGGCTGTGCATTTTGTTGCATCTATATTTTTAATTACATTTGAAGTTTGAGGGCCCAGACTTGGGAGAAAGCTGGGATAAAAATAAAATAAAAATAAAATAACTATAAGATATGAACAGACCATCTTTTCATTCTGAAGGAGCACTGCTTCAAGATATGGAATCAGTATCTCATTTTGTGAGACCCTGAGAGATTGCCTTTCCTGCACAAAGTCTGGGGGAGTGCGTTCTGCTTACTCTACATGGCCTTTCTAATCCCGGTGCAGAGGTGGGCCTGCTAGTTCAGGCACCCCATATATAGAATGGTGTCTCTCGGTTGGAATTGTGTGGGAAGTGGGCTCCCACTGTTGAATGTTTCCACTATCAACTGAAACACATTTGTTTACTCAGATCTAGAGCATCTTTATCCATGATAAAGTCACCTCTGAAGTGAGTGCATTTGTTTACCCAGATGTTTTTCTAATTATTACCCTAATTGTTAACACTACCAGTTTTTTTTAAATAAAGCAATTAGTTTTCCTAGATTTCACTACTTTTTTTTGTTTATTATTTGCTTCTTTCCATTTTATGGCATTGGTTCTTTGCCAACAGCTTCCCAGTGTGGTGTAGTAGGTAGAGTGGTGGGCTAGGAGTCAGGAGACCCGAGTTCAAATCTTTGTCCGGGCCTGGGAGTTCGCAGGAATGAGGATCGGGGCCAAACCACGCCTGAATATCTCTCACCTCGAAAGCCCTATTCAAGTCTCTATAATTGGGTTCTGACTTGACTGCATGTAACAATAATGTTCTATAAATAAGTATTTCCCCGCTGGACATTTCGCCTTTTTAAAACAGCCCGAGTTGGCAGCCCTCAAAGCATCTTTCAGCATCAGTGGTCCAGGAATGGGGAGGGGGGAGGCTGGGAGAGAGAAGAGGCCCTTTTCTCTGTGGGTGGGGAGGGGTCTTTCTCCCCCCCCTTTCCCCTAATTTTGACGCTTCCCCTCGACTTGCGAGTCCAGCCTCTCCCAGCTGCGAAGCGAGGACACGGGAGGGGGGGGGGTTGTGTGGAAGAGGGGGGAAAAGATGGGGGGAAAAAGAAATCTCCATTTTGGGGGAAACCCCA